ACACCACCCAACAACCCACACAAAAAAAAAAAAAAAAAAAAGAAAAAAAAAAAAAGGGCCCTTTTTTCAAAAAAAAAAAAAAAAAAAAAAAAAAGACAAGGAGTTTAGCCTAAGGAGACTATAGAACAGTTTAACACTCAAATCACAAAGTATATCCAACCACAGTATTTGAAATTTCACTTGCAGCGACACATACCAAAAATACACACACGCGCACACACACACACACACACACACACAAACACACACCACAAATGCACACACACACCACACATACACACACACATACACAAATACACACACACCACAAATACACACACACCACAAATACACACACACATACACACATACACAAATACACACACACCACACATACACACACATACACAAATACACACACACCACAAATACACTCCACAAATACACACACATACACATAAAAAAAAAAAAAAAAAAAAAAGACAAGAAGTTTAGCCTAAGGAGACTATAGAACAGTTTAACACTCAAATGGCAAAGTATATCCATCCACAGTATTTGAAATGTCACTTGCAGCGACACATACCAAAAATACACACACATACACAAACACACTCCACAAATACACACACATACACACATACACAAATACACACACACCACACATACACAAATACACACACACCACAAATACACATACACAAATACACACACATATACACACATACACAAATACACACACACAAATACACATACACACATGTTTTTTAAACACCGGTTTTTATTGTATCTATGAAACTTCCTCCTCACTGTTTTGTGGAATACTATAAAGAATGTTTGGGGCTGGAGAGATGGCCCAGCAGTTAAGAGCACTGGGTGCTCTTGCAGAGGACCCTGGTTTGATTTCCAGCACCCACATGGCAGCTAACAACAGTCCATAACTCTGAGCTCTAGAAACACGATACAGCCAAAATTATGGTTCATACCTGTAAGGAGTTAGTTATAGCTCTGTGTGGCAAATGACCACAGTTTTATTTTGTATAATACACATTTTGATCTGAAATTTTAGTTGTGGACATTAGTTAAGTTAATGTCAATGGAAGAGGTGAAAAACTCTTTAGGTATAATGCATTTTGTATGGAATTCAATGGTAACTGGATTTTATTGATTAATTGCATTGGTACTGGGTTGAACCAAGAGCCTCGCACATGTTGGGCAAGCACTCTACCATTGAGCTACATCCTCTTTTGAGACAAGGTCTCACTAAGTTTCCCAGGCCAACCTTGAACTTGAGCTCCTCTTCTTTCATATCCCAGCCCAAGTAGCTGGGATAACAGGCCTGAGCCACTAGGCCCAGTTCAGTTCACTGTTTAAAACAAATCTTTCTTCAAATAGGAGAAATGCTTCAGTGTCTACCTGAATGTACTCAGTAAGAGTGTTGAAGACTTGCTTTGCTACTTGGATAGCTTTGGAGAAGTTCCGTTGTCCCTGCTCGTCAATCACGTCTTTCCCGGAGTAATACCAATAGAAGTCACTAATGGATTCCTGGAAAACAGAGTTGTTGTTACAGCGCATGATCCCATTGTCACTGATCTTGCAGGTTTGGACTGTATTTACAGAAAGGCATCTTAAATAGACGCAGTAGCCAAAACTATCTGAGAAGTAAACATCGTCATCAACGATTTTCACTGAACACATTGCGTGGAACACAGCCACCTCCAATCCAAACAGCTGGGGAGATGGCACAGCAGAAAACTTGCCCTTAGGAATTACTTTGATGACCTTGAATTTGACAAATGTAAGAATTCATTGAGACTAATGTAGCTGTCCACCGAGTAAAGTTAGATGTTCACCTGTGCGCTTGGGAAGCAGACACACGGTGGAACACTGTTATGGGGGTTACAGTCGCCTGCCCTGATCTTTCTCCAGCAAAGCCAAGGGCAGTAGGTAGGGCAGTTCCAAGACATTCCTAGCTTTTGTAGCTGCCTCCAAGGCTAGACTGCTCAGAGACACCAACAGCTGCACATCAGCCCCTTAAGAGTCATCTTTGCAGACAGATGTTTTCAACACCGACTTCTACTCCGAAGAAATCTTCATCGGC